TCAAAAAAGATCTATCACATTGTCTTGACAGCAATGCAAAGTAGTGCCAAAAGGCAAGGGTCTTGATTTACTCCTGGTATTTCCTGCTAGGATTAGCTTCAAGTCTCCTGTCTTCAGTGAGATCCAAAGGGGCTTTTCTTTTGTTTTCCTAAATCAGCACTTCATTCTCATCACATCAGACTTATTTTTAGGATATTTGAATAGAATATCTTTAAGTTGTCAGTTGCTACTGTATAAATAGAGGTTGCTAAGGAAGGAACAGTAGCTGCTTCCTTAAGCAACAGTAGCAAAAGGAATGAAACAGCAGATGATTTCTTAGCAGAAACAGTAGACTAAGAGCAGCAGTTCTCTTCTACTGCAGTATTTAAAAATGTAGAAATGACATACACTAAAGTATTGATATTTTAAGTTTGAAAAATATAGCAAATCTACCTCAATTTGGCAAATTTGCTAATGAGTGTCAGAAGGCATTTTCCCTGCTTCTGAAATTCATTCCCTTCTAATTTTGTAGTTCTTTAGTTTTTATTTTACAGTTGTAGACACATAGACTCTCTTTTAGGGTTATTTGCCTACGTCAGAACAATCCTAGAAATTCACAACTCCAGGATCTGATATTCAGAACCACATTAAAGATCGCCAGCAAGGCTACAAGTTCCCTACAGCTGCAGGGAGTATGTATTTAGGTAGATCATTATTATTTAGGGAGAGATTTGTCAGAAAAAGGGTTTGGTTTCTAATTTTTATTTATTTATTTAGATCTGAACATTGTCAGATGAGAACGCTGGTGCGAAGAATTTGGTTTTGGGGACTACAACTCTTTACTGAGGCTTCTACTGAAGCCTCCATCTTAGAGGATGGATTCAGCAATTTCACAGTGGGAGATTACCATTGTGCCCATTCTTAATCTCTTTCGGAGCACAAGAGCAGTCCTCTGCACCCAGTCCACTAATGAAGCCACTAGTAGGTGCACAATTTAAGTTGATTATTCTGTTGATGTGATCACATCAGGAAGCTGGCTGCCACACGCTGTTCTGGCTGTAGTCACTAGGGGAAGATATTACAACAGCAGAGCTCCTCTGGGAAAAAAAAAAAGACTTAGGATTTGTCCACAGAGGGGACAATTCAGGACAGTTTATCTGAATTAGTGAGAGGTTTGCCGTGGATTAGTTAGAATCATATAAAACCTCGGGGTGTGTACTTCTATTCAGAATTAAACTGTCCTAATTCAATTAGATTAACTTACTTCCAAATGTTTTACACAGCTAGTGATAACAGACCAAGTGCAGAAGACATGTAATGGTATCTAAAACTGTCTGCCGATGAACACAGCTGTTCTCCCTTTATGCCTCATGAATATCACATCTCGCAGCAGAATGGAGTATCAAGAGCTGACAATTGGAATAGAAAATATTGAGTCTAAGGACGTGATAGGCAGAGAACTGGATGTGACCATCTTCAGGAAAAAAAAGCAGCTGGAGATTGGGCACTAGCCAGTTATATTGCTTCCAGCTAGTGATCATCGAACACACCTGGATCATTATGTCCTTTTAGACAAGCAGGAGATAAGCATCTTTGAAGTTAGCCTTAATGACAGCTATCTTACCACCAACTTGTCTGGGATAGTGTTCATCAGGCACTGGTGACAGGTTTCATACAGGATACGCTGCAATTCCTAAGATTCTCTACAGAGAGAGAACAACCTCCAGTACTGAACAGAAGCAATGTGTTGCAAGTGGACTGGGGCTTCATGATGAGGCAAATATAGACAGTTTAGTATCAAAAGCAAACCTTTTAGAGTCGTACCTTGGCATGACAACTCAATGAGTGCTGAGGAAACAACCAAGCTTATCACACAGTCACACTAGGGCTTCCAACTCCCACCCTGACAGGGCTATTTCTGGGGTGTTCAGTTTTCCTCTTCCTAGAATATCAGGTCAACTAGAAACCCTAAGGAGCTTTTTCAGCCATCCTCACATAGGAGAGGATGACAAAAAGGCAACACTGTTTTAGTGGAAAGTCCCCTGATGGCAAGAGTAAAGCTTGCACAACCCTAGGCACACAGCAGAGGTTCGAGCGGGCAGAGTGACTGTGAAGCTTTTCGTTACTTTCCTTTGTGGAAGTCCCTGAAAACCAAAAGGTCTAGAAAGGGAAGGAAAAGGCCAAAAGCTGAAGCCATGATAGGTCCCCATTCATTCATGTTTCCACTTGTCCAAATGAGAACTGTGTAGCTGCTGGCTCCAGCTGCAGTCATGCTTGTAGTACACTTCGGAGTGAGGCATGGTATCTTGCCTGATACGTCCAGTTTCTCAAAGGTACTTGAGGAGAGATGGAAAATGCTGGTTTACAGCAGGGAAATCTGGTGTTTTGGGGTCAAGTCAGCTGTCAGAGGCAGAGCCTGGTGAAAATGCTCTTGGTGTGCTTGGACCGAGGTGCAGCAAGACTGAGAGTTCTGGAAGTCTGCTCATGCTTCCACCTGTAAATGCTCCCAAGTGTGTTACCAAGGCCAAGGCTATGCAGATAGCCGGGGATGTATTTGATCAAAACAGACTCAGGTTATCTGTTCCTAAAATGTACCATGCTCTGCTTTCTGCATGACAAGCCTCAGAAACACCAAAATTAGTTCAGAAGAGTATAAAAAGCTCCCTGCTAACATAATGTGCAAATGGACTGTCGCACTCACTGTGATCCTGGACAGCAACAAAATTAGAAGGCAACAGCAAACAGCACAGAAAATTGCAGCTGAAAAATACCAACATTATCCTCTTTTAATACACATTGTTAAAATGAACATTTTTAAAAGCTGAAGAGATGGGAGCCCAGATGCTATCACCGTATGTCTTATACAGTTCATGATTACGAACAAACAGCAGAATACATATAAAAGAATCTAAAATGGTATGGATACGAGCCCAGCTGGTGTCCCCATATGCCTTAAGAATTCCATTTTTAGGAACACAGCAGCATATAGCATTAGAGATGCTTCTTCAACATCTCATTTATAAATAGAGTGGAGCTGTTTCACTGAAGTACACACAGAAAAGGTCCACTAGGATCATAAAACCAGCTGCATTCAAAGCCACTGAAATGGTTCAACCACAGTGTTCTTATTAAGAACTACTCTGCACCAGACTATTCCCTGAATGAGGGATGATGCTTGTTTGTCATAGGCTCCTCACTAGGATTTTTTCAAAAGCAACCACGAAAAAGCCATTTTAGACAGAAAATGCCAACTTACTTTTGTTTCAGCGAACTGTTCCTACTGAAAGCTTTCTCGAGTCCAGAACAGAAGAGCGTAGGCCCAAGCTCTAGGGCAGTGGAGAGGTACCGGTGTGGGAGAGGTAAATTCTTGCCAATTCTGAAAATCAGTCAAAGTAGGGTCTGGAGCTTGGCCAGTCCACATCCTGGTGGGAGCAAATCCTTCACAAACAGGCTATGGGCTCTTCTGCAATAGAGATCTTCTTCCTCTCCTGCATTTCAGTTTCAGCAGAACCACCTCTAAGGGAAGACAGTAAACTGTGGGGATTCCTGGTTAATTGTGAAAATACGTCACCAAATGCAGTTGACTTAAAATCATCATTTCATTACATGTACACTGTCAACCAAAATAAACCTAAAGCAGATATCTAAAAAAATTACACTACATATGAATGAAAAATTATTTTATTTAAAAATACATTATACAGCAGAGTGTCTCTCTTTTTGTTTTCTCACTGCTGGTTCACAGAGATAATATGATAAATTTAACCCGAATATTTGACTGGGAAAGATCCTGAGAGAGAAAAAGACCAGTTACAAGCTGATGATATACAGTACACTGAAAAAGAGTCATCTCTTTTAACATAAAAGAATCTCCTGGTAATCTTATAAATCAGATATAAAAAATGGAGGTTTGCTACCATGCAAAAACGAGTGAAGATTTCATTTAAATCTGCACACAGAGGAAACCATTAGTACCTTGGACCCTAAATAGCTAGACTAAGAGAAGGGTAAGTGTGCCTAATATGGCAATACAAACTTTGGACCTACTACCATTTTGTAAACACATTTCATAATCTAATAATGGTGGATTTTCAATCACCTAAGTAACACTGTTGTAGCTAAGGGCTCTATTCTAGGACTTTTCTCCTCGATGTATGTATTTATTCTCTACTTCTCAGCTTAGCACAATGATTGTGAGATATGCTCTATTGCACTCAAAAATGGCTTGGCATTGCCCTGTTTGCCAAGCACTATTTAGGCAGTTGTATTTTAGTGAAAGCAGAGGTTAGAATAAAAAGTAAGAAGCAGGTGTTACCTTGGATGACTAAGTGGGAAGGCATTAAAATTCATCATAGAAAATACCTGATTTTACAGCCTTATGTTTCAAACATCTTCTAACGAGGATTAACGCACAGGAAATACACTGAATTATGGAAAATTTAAGGCCTAGAATGTTTAACAGCCTGCACTGAACATTACTATTCTCAATGTGTCTATAGTGCTAGCGTTCTATCAGCTGTTGCCAGAAGAAAACTTTCTGGCAGATGTTAAGAGCATCTTCAGCATCTACAACATTCAGATTCATTTGGTGCTCAATTTTTATAGGACAACTTCACTACAAATAGTTAGTGAGGCTGTCTTCTGAAGGGGATGCTCAATTTGATTATTCACACTGATAACAGAGATACGATAACACTGCCTGGTGTTGAAGAAAAATCAATTTGTCAACACATCACAGACCTACAGAGGATTTTTTTTGCAAGAATATGGCCCTGAAACACAAACAGAGATAGAAAGATTTGTAGAGAGAAAGTCTTCCTGTCCTGGTCTCTTAGGCTGAAGAAAATTAATGAAGCCATTTTGTTTTTCCCATGAGTGCTCCAACATGAAAATGGAGAGTAGAAACTCATACGCACTTTTCTCACTATGCCAGTGACCCTCGTATCTTAGCACCCATTCTCCCAGCATAACATCAAGGTGTACAACAAACATGAGAATATGCAGTCTTCCTTGAATTTGTTTAAACTATTTATGAATAGCACAGCTTCCCATCAGATATGCTGAGCTGAGAATGGAGCCCTTAACCTTCATGGAATATCATTATTAATAAAGAATATATCGATGATCAAACTTTCTATATTATTTTCATTTCTTTTAACTTAGATACATATATATCATCCAAGACATTCAAGAACTACAAAACAACAATTCAACTACAATTATGTCAGGAAAATATCCAAATAAATAAACTTTTAATTATGATACAATACTTATTACAGTAAAAATTGGCATTTTTTTCTCTTCAAAAGCAGAAGCACCAGTCTTACATATAACATACTGTTTGAATGATATCTTACATGGAATACAGCGTAATACAATGTGCAAACAGCATTTTCATACAGAACGTAATATTTGTCTACTTTTTATACACTGAAATCGCCTCAAATGGAAACAAGTTCATGCTGAATTAAAAACGTAGGTTTTAAAAATCAAAGTCAAATCAAAATATGAAGTACTGTTGGAATAGGTACATGAACCATTGAAAACAATGAGAAGCCAAAATAGAAGATATTGTCAGATAAATATAATTAGTGCTCAGTTTGTCCCATTCCATCAAAAAGTAAACAGTTAATATTTCTGCTAGAAAGTAAAGTGACGTTCTAATATTTAAGAATTCTTCAAAACGTTGGTATCATTTTAATGATGTAAAAATCAAGTCAGAAATAGGACTTCTAAAAATTTCTTATTTTTGATACACTGCAATTATCGCGTGTGGGCTGTGAAAAGAGATGAAGTCCAATGGAGTGAATATACATCAGCGTCAACATCATGTGACTTCTGCAAAGGCCGTGATGTGGTTCTACGAGTTAAAGGAAAAACAAACAGATGAAAACCCAGAAACCAGACAGATAGACATCAGTCACCATTGTGAAAGTTTTTACCTCTTGTGCTTTAGGGACAGCCTTATGCTTGGAGACTATTGCAGGACGATGTAAATAAAACTGGTTTTCGCTGCAGTGCTCTCACTCACTCCCATAGCAACTCTTTGTTAACTGCTGAAAGACTGGATATGCAAGTGTGCTGAACAAAGTAATGAGGTGTGGTGATTCTACAATATTTCAGTTCCAGGTGAAGTTTTTAAAATTAAGTAACAGTGTGAATAACTGAGTTAAACTGTACTTTTATTGCTATCTTATTCATAATTTAAAGCAAAATTCCTCGAAATTAAAATGACAGTTTCTGACAGGTAAGAATATTCTCTTTCAGTGTTAATACAATTTTAATGTTGCAGTTTTTTTAAAGATTAATTGCTCCCCAAGAACTCAATGGCACAGAATCAAGCAGTAAAATGCTACAACAAAATTGCGTTCGTCAGTTGAGAACTCATATTCAAAACTTCTGTTTCAGAATCACTACAGTGTTCTCTTCATTTGCAATGTCATCCTTCTCTTTTCTTCAACGGGACGATTCTTATGAACACGAAGACGTGTATCAGAATGCGAATACACTACGTGTGACTACACAGTAAAACTGCAGTATCCCAAAGAGCTTTGCTACTTTTTCATGCTCTATCCTAAGCTTCTGCAAACATTTGGTAGGTGAGCACTCAACTGCACAGTGATGTGCAGGATCTAAATGAACTGTACGTTCCTTTTAGACACACAGTACCCTTGACTGCCACCATTTTTTATAAAGCATGCAATGTGTAAAATTAACAAAAGGAATCTTGATATTAAGCCACGTGTTTGTTCCCCAGCACAAAAATGCACAGAGGGAAACAATACCATGCAAAGCACTGCTGATTTCTCTCACCACCTCCCCTCCTGGAGCAGACCAAAGTCAGAAGAGAGGACATGTAAGCTGAAGAGGAGGGGGGATGTAGATAACTCTTGGAGAGTAGGATACATCTCTTTTTTTCTTGTCTTAACGGAAGTTGTTCCAAGTCCTTCAGAAAATCCCTTATCACACACCATAGAAAGTGCTGGATAGAAAGAGTGGCCATCACACAAGCTTATATTTCTCAAGTCTCCTTTAAACTGTCTGGATATTTGTCTTTCAGTTCGGGGTAGGGGAAGGCAGGCAGGCATCTTTGATTTCCACATTACAGAATGGAATTTAGAAGTAGACTGAGTGGGAGCACAGGAGAGCTGCCTCCTATTCCCTCCTCTCCAAACAAGGCTGGCAGCTTTGCTCCCTCTGTCACTGTGCCATAACCATACTGTGTCCAGGAGGAGGAGTTCTCTTTCCCCTCCCCTATAATAGGTGTTTTAGTTCTTGAAAAGTTCTTGCTGTATTTTATGACAGCTTTCGTAAGAACACCATCAAATAGCAAACATCTATGCACATTCTTCTCCAAAACAGAATTAATATATTTTAAATAATGATTTATGTTTTAAATATGATTAAACCATAGCCAGTAGATTTTTTAAAAAGCATTAGAAAAAAAAAAGAATCAGTATGCAACTTTCTGTGAAAATGTTTTCAGCAAACAATATTAGCAAATGTCATTATTTTCAGACTTTGATTATGCAGAAGAAAAGTAAAATTAGATTTCCTAATTAGAAAACAAAACATTAACGTTTCAAAGCATTTTAGTTGGCTGGCCATCTTCTGCTCTCAGTACAGGAAAGACAATACGTTGGGCAACATTAACGACTTTGGAGCTGCTGTGAGGCTATTATGACATTTCCTTCACAGTATTTACTTTATTTTTCCCTATTTAGACCTCAAAATTATCGTGTCAACTTAAACTAGCATTAGTTTAAAATTATTCACTTTGTTGATAACTAAGATGGTTTAAAAATGAGAAATTACAGGAAAAAATATTCCTTGTTATTTATTCTAATCAATTCTTTCAAGTCCTGCTACATGCTGTCCCTTTCTCTAAGTGACACACATTTGTCTGTGATGCAGAGGACCAAATGCTCGTTCATGTGGCATTAATTCAGGACTGGATAACTATTACTTAGGAAAGGAGAATGTGGTTCACACTCCCACCAGCTATACCTGGAAAATGAGCAGGTCACTATCCTTGGAAGGACATGCAGAGCATGGGATATGATAACACAGAAGAAAATCCCCCTTCCTCAGCAAACTCTCAGGAGAGAACTGCTAAGCTACCGATCGCACAGCTATTGATTTGGACCCTACTGAAGACTTGTCGATTCATTTCCAATGGACTCAGCAAGGTAAAGCGTAATTAGGTCAAAATTAATCACTTGCTGAAGGCAAGAATCACTGATACAAATTCATGCAACTGTCTGGGTATTCATGCTTTTTCATATGTTATTGTCTCAGGCAAAACTACAAACAAGCCTTGCTGAGACTCTTTACAGAAAAAAGTAAACAAACAGCATCCCTCTGGAGTAACTGCATTTCAACTCTTTTACTATGCTCTTTATTTCTGTTTAGATTTTACTGTGACAAATTTCAATGTGAGATACTAACCACTGTCAGCAAACAGATTCACACAGATGCAAGAGACAAGTGAAAAACCATGCACAAGGTATCAGCTTCTCCAACTCCATGGGAAATTGTTTTCTTACTCCAAAGAATTAGAATAATCTGATGGTCTGCTCAATGGCAGTAGTTTCAGACAGGCATGCCAGCTTTTGCACTATTTATTCTAAATTGACAGTATCAGCTTGGTGTCAGCACCAGCTGAACAAAGCATGCTTCATAACCACCCTCTCACACCACCAAGAGAAAAATGAAAGCTAAAGGCTAAGCCTTGAGTGCAGGTTTCTGGGGGAAAATGATCCATATCTGATATCTTCTGTTGAGTTTTTAATTAATTTCTGTTTATAAGAGATTCTATAATGTTAAAGCATTGAAAAAAATCCATGACAACTTTTTTTGTGGTTTGCAGTTTTCATTACATATATTAAATATTTTTTACCTGAAATTTTTTTTGTTCTGCTCTCACAAACACAGTTAGAAATAATAGTCATCAACTTAAAAAAGATTTTTCTATTTTTGAAAACAGGAGATTGAAAAAAAATTGTTGTCCTTCACACAGTGGAGTTTGATAAAAGAAATAGAAAAATACTACTGTAGTAGTTCAGGCAAATAATAATTTATCATACAGTAATAATAATGTTATTATATAATTCTTTGTGTCAGCAAAGTATATTTTATGCTTTCACTGGACAAATCACATTTTTAGAGAAAAGAATGAGTTCAAGTGAAGTTCTCCATTTAAAACATTGCAGACCTGCACAGAACGCTGCACCCGCCTTTGCTTCAATTCCACACCCAAACACTCATGTGCGCGCTTGCGCACATACGTTTATTGCCTGATATGAAGATGGTCAAAATGGTCCATTCCTGATATCCAGGAGAAGAATCTAATGATGCGTGCTTTGAAGGAGTTTTGTGGCAGAGGATCTTCTTGATTGTTACTAATACCTTGATTCTGTAACATCTACAACATGTATATTTGAGGAGGTCACACTGAATACATTGTTCCATTTCCTATGTTTAAGCGTTATTTTATCTGAACATTAGATGTGGCGACCACAGTTTGCATTCAAACTAAATTATTTGTGTACAATTCCCCAAAGTAGATTTAAGCAGAAGAGTAGGACATGAATGCAAATTCAAACGCTTGACATTGAAACGAAACTGCTTATGGTCTTTTATGAGCTGCCTCTCCTGAGTATGTGTTTCTGTGTGTGAGACAATGTGTATCCTATCTCCTTTAACACACCGTATTATCAAAAGAGAACCATTATGACAATAGAAATCTGAAAACCTGCCTATAAGCTAATGTAAGCACATAAACTCTAGTCAAGCCATCCTGGACATACACATACATGCACTAAAACACCGTACAGAAACCTATACGCACTTTTGGACATCAAGCACAACAGATTCAGATACTTCTCAACTGAAATATTTTGAAGCAACTGAAATAGACACAAACTCTCTCCCCCATTTGCCCATAGCATGATGAGCTAAAACATCTTTGTGCTTTGCGTTTACCCTGTGAGCTCAGTGACAGGTGATCAGTCTCCCTGGAGAGCCCTAGGGACCAGACCGGACTCCCTGGGCCACGCTGCGTGTACATAAGTGCACATACCAATGAAAGACTTACTACCAAAATGCTTAAGACCAAGGAAAAAGCAGCAACGCTGAGAATTAAAATTAAAAATACCCTTTACAGATAGTGTGAAGAAGTTGTTCTATGTGTCACAAATAATCAAGATGGAGTGAATAGAAAAAATATTGTACCTTAGAAACAGAAAATGAAAGCTTCCCCAGTCTTAAAATACTCTCAGAATCCATGGCAATATCTATACTTACTATTGTTAAAATGTTTTATCACCACCATTACCTTTGGCACATACACAACAGAATGAGAATTATAATGTCGAACTCAACAAGATTTTTGAGACAATTAACCCTGATAGTCACTAGCAATTGATATGACACGCAACAAGAATGCCACATATTGTGAGAGGAATTTCAAGTATTTGTCACTATTAAAAGTTAGAAATGGAGAGAGAGCGCAAGCACCTAAACTATCTGTTTCTAGTTCACAGTCATGGGGGAGAGTCAGTCCTAAGGGTGGAGTACAAGAAACTTTCCTGTTACAAGGAAAGTTGACTGTGTTTGAGAACATGGTTTGGGCATCGCCAACAGAAGTAGCACTATGAAGGAATGTCAAGCAGAGACTTTGGAGATAAATGCAGCTCAGCTGTCAAACAGAGCAATGCAAAGGACCCACTGCACAAAAAAGTAACATTTAACAGCTACAGAAAGAACTGATGATCAGACACAGTATTCATCTTGTCCCACAGGAGATGAACCATAGTGCCTCTCCTAACCCAATACTTCCTTCTAAAACCTCTTACCTCAGTATTCTATTTCCTCAATTAGTCCTAAAATGTTCCACGTTCCCTTTGTATTTGATTTTTTCAAAGCTAGAATACTTATTTTTTTAAAAAAGGCTAGGAAAGTCAGCAGCTACTACAAGACATGTACAAGCCCGCTGTAAGCCCTGGCCATTTTCAGGTGACTTTAGCATGAAATAATGCCAGTCTCCCCTGAAACAGAAAACAGAAAAAAAAATAGTGTGTGACTGCACAGGATGAAGCTGAACTTTAAAATCTTCCAGGTACCACCCAGAATATCCTGTTTCCCAGTAACTCTTGCAAAAGAACAGGAGTCCATAACCTTGAGTGTGGTGGGAAGAAAGCCTCCTTTCTGTAGAAGAGTGCCAGCTAACCGAAAAAAGAATTGTCTTGTAAGAGATGAAGGTCAGAGACAGGAGAGAAAAAGGAGCAGATGGGTGAGTGATGAGGTTTCTTGGCTTTCATTCTTTTCATTAATTCTGAGGATGAATGTAGTTAAGGTGAAAGCAATAAGTCTGCATTGCTGAGCCAGCTCTGGCAAGGATTCTTCAAGGAGACACTGCAACTATGGCTTATTTGAGTGCATGAGAAGTGAGTACCCGTGCAGAACAGCTTAATCATCTGCATGCACTACAATTAAACAGACGTGTCATGCAAACAGTAATCTACTCTTGTCATTAACCAGTAGCAGCTCAATTCAGAATATTACAAGTACAGATATTCCTATTTAAGTGCACTTCAAATGTAGCTCTTGACCTCCACCAGAACTCAGACAGTGTCAGCACAGAGAGCATGCCAAGCATGCAAAACACATTCGTTGTCCAGCAGGAAAAAGCGCTGGAATAGCAAGTAGCAGATCTGGAAACACAAAAATAAGGTGCTTCCAGGCCTACGTGATGCACCGTGTGCTTATTCATTTACAGGTGAATTTATAATAAAATCACAATGAGCGAGGTCCCATCTGGTAGGCATTGCTAATGAAGTTATTCTTTAAGACAGCGTCTTTGAATCTCTCGCTCCCAGATACTCATACAGTTATTATTTTTAAATACCAATAAAAGTTGCATTTCTCCATGCTAGCACTGCCTTAGCCCATGATAACTTCAGTCAGTCAGAATTCATGCTACTCTTAGCAGCTAATTTCTGGCAATAAGCTGCCTTTAATACTGGCGCAGGAGACTGTAGACTGAAATAAGGAAAAGCAGATTTTAAATAAACCAAATGTAAATGTATGTGCATGCAGAATATGGAACTGGAACAGCCCTAGTAACTTGCCTTTTCCTACTTTAGCCATGTGCAAGTAGCACAGGAATTATTTCACACTCCTCTCTCACTCTACAGCAGAACAAAGAACGTAAAATAAGAAGGGAGTTAAAAAGCAAAGACTAAGTAAATAATTCTTGTAGTGATGATAGTTAATTAAGATGGCTCAATTTAGATCGTAGCTCCACAAAAGTACTGTTCTTAGTGCCTTCTAAAAAACTCAACACTTAAAGCACTCACAGTAAGTAACATTTTTATCAATTATTTGCTAATTCAAATTTAAATTTTCTGAGAGTGGAAAAAGAAGAAAGCATTTCCCAACAAATAGCAACGTTTCCACGTTATCATCCTCCTCTCATCCTGTCCGTCTGGAAAGGAGAAGGGCTTCGCAATATAGACGAAGATGAACTCATACACTGAGATCTCACCAAGTGTAACACCCTGTGTACAGTCCTCAATCTAATTATCTAGAGAGAAATTCCATGACAGCAAACAGCTAGGCTCTACTGCCACAGCAATAACCGTTCAGAAGGAAAGAAGCTCGTTCCTATAACAGAATCCTGGGCGGTTCGCAAATGCTAGAGGTCATCCTCAAGCAGAGCAAACATTATTCCTGTCACCGCACTTCCACACTCTCCCATAGCTTTCCCCACAACATCTCAAATCTTGCCTAGGCCAAGTCTCAGGAAAAGAACATTGTTCATCAAGAGTGAGAGGGTGTCAAGTTAACATGAGGTATTTATCCCCAGAAAAAATTAAAAATGTACAAAAAATGTTCATTTATTACCCATGATGGCTTTGAGCAACAGAAACGGCTTCTATTGTAGGAGAGCCTAGCACGTAAATAAGGGATGCTCTTATTAATGTGGTATGTCCTAGGATAACTGACATCTTGTTTTGTTTTGACATTTTACAGAAAGTTTACTGAATGGATTATTTTGAAGATACACATTCATCATCTAAATGCTTGTTCAAGCAAATGAGACTCTGACCTCCTTATGACAAGATATCAACAGAAGTAGCTAAGACACATTTGGTTCAAAAAGGCACGTTAGATCATTCTGAAAACAAATCTTCTTTCCCTTCAAGGAAAGGAATAACAAACTCAGGATTAGCAGCAATTCTTACTAAAGGATAATTTCCACCACTTCCAAGTGACTAAGACAGACTGGGAAGTGGTTAAAAACATTTATTCTTATGTTTAATACAAAAAAATATCAGGAGTAGTTTGATTTTATCAGAATGTCATAAAAACATACTTCTGGTGCCCTACTCAGTGTAAAACTGTTTACTATCTTCAAACATGGGTATAACACAAGAGATTTTAACAAATTATGACAGATAGTCATTACAAAAAATAGAATTGCTTTCAAACTTGGCATTGGTAGTTAAAACTTCCCCCTGGTAAAAACACCTAAAACGTTTTCTTTATTTGGTTATGCTATCTATTTCAGTGTTTGTTTGCTCATAAAATTATTCAGACGTAATCTTACCTAACATTTACATAGTAAAACACCATCTTCAAAAAAACAAAGATTTTTATTACAGGCAACTAAAATAAGTTTTAAACACATTGCAATACTTACTCATGTAAAACGACTTGGCATACCCAGGGGACTATCACTAGCACCTCATAGTCCAAAATCCCATTTGCTTTGGCAAGAGATCATGGCTTTTTTGCAGTTACTGTATGACTCACGTTACTCTGTAATTACCATGTTCATTAAGTGGTTTGCCCTGCTAGTGCAGATGCCAGATTCTAAGCATTACCAAGTGGGTGCCTTGTCCTGGGGCTAGCGTATACCTGATGATAAAAGCCCTACAGCTGATCCAGAAGGGACTGCATCTCATGTTCTACACTAGCCTGACATACCTCAAAGAAATAGGATAAACGCCACTCGTATCTGAATCACATAACCTCTTGGGGTCAGGGGTTGGACTTTCTTTCCAAGCACTTCAAGCTCTGTGGACTCTCAGCCAAAGTGTTAATCAAACTTACTTGAGGAACACAAGGATAGAGGGCCTCAGATCTACTCAGCCTGACTCCATGGACTTAGCAGTGGCTACAATAGTAAATCGGACTGATATGCAGCGATTGTTCTTGGAGGTGACAGGAGGAGTCACCCAAGGAGTGTCTCTGAATTAATTCTTCCCTTCTTTCTCCTTCATTGCCATGTCTCCTTACTTTAAATCTCATTACCTTGGCACTCTTGTCAAGATTGCTTGGGACCATCCTTGCAGGAAAGTTATGTTTTATTTAATTGTTTTTTAAAAAGTCAGACATTACCTTTTCTAAAGGGCTTTCTACTCGGGGTATGCTGATCATGGGCATCTGGGCCAGATTATCCATATGAGAATGTTCGTGTTCTGGCTGACGTCCTCTGAAGTTATTTACCACACAAACAACCTAGAAGGAATTAGAAGATAAACAAAATCGCTAAGGAACAACTCATTCTTTTGAGCTTTGATCCTGACATCCATAATTAGGCAGAACTGACACCAACTTTAGTCACAGCTTACAGCAGAAACACAGAAATGTGAAGTTTATGTTTTACAGAAAATCCTTAATTAATACTTCAAGACAAAAGATTTTCAGCCAATTTATTGTTACATGCATCATCTGAGAATCAGAGAGTCTTTTATCTAAAAGCAAATCTATTACCGAAGCTGAAAAATATAATACCAATTATTGACAATGTCATGAATAGATGCCTGGAGAACGTTCAGGAGAATATGGCAATAACCTTAAATTCCTACAAAGGGTAGTACCATCTAAACTTTGACCAGCAAAGACTTTCTCAAATGGAGAGTGAGAAAGGGAGAATAAGAAGGCAATACCATCCCCAAGTTTGAACAAAACTCTAAACCTGGCTCAGGGCAACAGTGACTCTCACACAGGGATTTAGGAATGTGATATAAACCAGTTTTGTAGTGTCTCTACTAATTCAGACACTCATCCAAGCAGCAATGTTTCCCCATTGCATTTTCTTCAAAACACAACTAAATTTGATGTCATGCTACTCAAAGGAATTTATGCAATATACATCATAAAATTTAGTAAAAAAAATGCTGGGACAGATTTCTGTTCTCTTTTATGACTTTAGAGGCACAAACAGAATAGAAAAACTTCTTAAAAATGAATCACCAAATATAACTCCTGGACACCTTGCGTGGAAGGGAATGTTTGGATCTGCAAGCAGGTATATTTTAAAGGAGACCTAAAGCTGCCCTCAGATTTCTCAGAGGAGTGAAAACACAGACCTCAGCCATCGCCGTGAGAGTCCTCAGCCAAGCCAAGTCTTAAGATCCAAGATCTTGACATCAAGACCTTGAGATCCAAGAATCAAGCTCAAAAGTGTTTTCACGGGGAAAAAATTGAAAGGTGTATTTAGTACTGTTACAAGCTGCCAGACAGACAAACTTGCAGGCAGTAAACAACAGTGACTATTCTATGCCACAGTCTTGCACTGAAGTTATCAGTGAAGGTGATTAATAGATTAGCAGCAGCTTTCTGACACAGACACTAGTCATTGTGAACTGTGACTAACGATTTGGTTTTGGAACACAGTTCCAGAAAAGGAAAAGGCTAAACAAGGATTTTTTGATACAGAATAACATAAAATTTCCATGTAAACCTGAATTAGCATAAAAGAAAATCACTAGGGTTACTTTAAAGTCAGAAAAGAAATGCTACTTATTCTCTGATTAGTGTTAGGTATCACTATACTGAATTTAATACTTCATATATGAAATCATAACTAGATGTTATTCTGAAGGATATATACTTGCTTAAAGTGGGGCTTGATGCAAAAAATTATTTGTTGAAATGCTACAATCTGGTTTATAAGGAAGTCAAAAGAGATCATTTGATCAGGCTTTTCTTGACTTCACATTTCTGAATGTATGTAAATATAACTAAGGAAACTGATCATTAATTAAAAACAAAAATTAGAAACGCTTCTTTTGTCATTTAATTGTGCGAAAAGTCAAGCCCATGAATATTTTTTTTTTAAGAGATACAAAGTCATACACTGATTTTTTCAAACAGAAGTGACACAGGTATACACTTACCAAAAATACTGCTATAGATATTCCGATTATAAATCCTGCTATTACATCTGACCAATGATTTCGATACTCTGCTACTCTGTTGATTCCAGTAAGGAAAGCCAAGCACATTAAGCCCAAACACAGAACAGGTTTTGCAAGCCTTGTTCCTCTGGCTTTTACTGTGTTGGTAATATACATCTGAAAATTAGAAAGGAAGAAAGTATAAGACAGATGGATATCTTCCACTAAGTGGCGAACAAAATGTCTAGATTTTGTTTGAATAGGCTATGTGTATTTGGCCTGGATTGTTGTTTGTTTGGGTTTGTTTGGTAAAGAAACAAGAAAGTAGAGCTCTAAATAAACTGATCACACCCTTTTCCTAGGGATATAGAAGAACAATTAGACCATACAACAAAATTTAATTTTATGTGAACCTGAAAGGTCCCCAAAAGAACAAATTCGGCAAATTCGACAATTCTATCCTGTTACTTCCAATCTATGTATTTATTTCTGTAGAGAGGTAAAGAGACTGATTTTTCACTGCACAGTGTTGACAGTAATACAAAAAGATCTTTACCCTGAAAGGAGCTCCATCAAGGCCTTTTTTTTATTAGCAAATGCCTTTTTCCTCACACACAACTTCTCCACGTGATAGAGATTTGACAAAAAGCAGTGAAAATTGAACTAAATGCCAGCATAAAGAATTTTAACCAGTGCTGAACCAATACACCCCTGTACTTCACAGATGGTGACTGAGGACCCCCCCCCCCCCCCCAGCATATAAACAAATCTAAATACAGAAACTTTTATGCATCAAACTCTGAGAAATCAATCTGCCCTGCTTCCAGTCTAACTCTCCCTGTACAATACTACTGAATTAAAAGCACTGCCTGATGACAGAGCAGCTCTTCTGCCCTAAGGGTGCATTAGTGACTACTAGGTTTAAGCCAGCACTTTCCAAGCTCTGATAGGCCAATGGAAGAAATGAATAACAGACCTTTGAATTTCCATTCTCTTAAACCTTGGCATTAAGGCTGCTTGAAAGTTAACCCCCTTAAAAATGATACTTCAACTACAAAGATTTTTAAGAAAAAAGTATGTACTTCCTGCAGAAGATGTTTCTACAATTAAACCACTGAAATCCCTAAAACCTTCACACTTAGACAGAGTTGAAACTTTTAGATTGAAGAATGCAAATATTTTCTATGGAGTTTCACTAGAGACTCCAAATGTGTAATGCTATCACTTTGAATGGCAAAGGGAAACAGATTAATCTGCATTGAAGAACCTGCACCTTTTGAGCCAATAAACAGGTAATCTTTTGGAGTTTTTGTACTGTCTGAAAGTTCAGCTGAATTTACTGGGTAATCAGTTATCAAATACGTCAATAATCCAGTCAAGAAGTTTAAGAAGCATAGTTACAGGTACAATAAATTAAGTGAAGAAAGTAGTTGTCAGAACTTGTCTGAAAAGAGCAACATCTGACAGTAATTTTGTTCAAAACACTAGAGAAAGATCCATGGTTTAAAGAATGAATCAAAGCTTAAACTTAAAATTACAGCAGAGTACCGCAACATGTACATCTTTTCTACGTTATTTCTTCTCTTCTTCCTAAACCATCTCAGAAACAGCGTTTCTCCTTTTACTAACTATCCTTTTATCTTAGCTCCTTATATTTTGCAGGCTTTCTTCAGTGGGTTACTCTTACCATGTGGAATGCTGATAAGACAAGTGCAACTTGAATTTCCAGCTTTTTAGCCCTGCTGGTTTTCTTCAAGCTACAAACAGAGCAGTGCACGCTGAGTTACTCAGCAACCCTTTATTTTAGCGAGTCTCCTTGTACTCCTGGACACTACCACCATTATCCACATTCACGTTACATGTTAGAACATCTGGTGCTAGGGAAAATATTCTAATATTTTGAATATGCAGCAAGGTCACCAAATTTCAAATGCAGCTTGGGAGAAGTTGACACAGTGAAGTTGGCAGGAAGCTATCCTGCATTTAATTCTATATTGTGGTGTATTCAATCAAAAAAAAAATCTGAGAAGGAAAAATCAATTAAGAAAAAAAAGTGTCACTTGTTTAAGGCAGGTCTCAGTGATATATGTCAGTTATCTATGACACCTGGTTATTGTCCAGGGAGATGACCTCAATTTTTATATAGTCAAAACACTTGATTCTGCAGTACTTCAGTCAAACTTCAACGTTTTTAATACAAAGCTAAACTGGAAAGTGCTCTGCAGAAAATTCTCAGAATCTTTTTACAATCAAGCATGTCCTTCAAATCCCGGCTCAGATAAAGCACTGAGTGAGCAGAAACAAATGCAGACTCATGCTGTGCCGCACATCTGAGTAATAAAGACCTCCATTTGCCAAGTACCTTCCTATATGTGCAGTCAAGATCGTCATGCCTAGTCCATTATTCAAAATAACCTGAGGGTTCTGCCAGCATAGGTACCATTTTTATCTTTTCTTTAAAGAACAGACACCACCAATGTTAAAAATAGTACTATATCAAAATATTATTAAAGAATCAATAGAAACAGGGTAAACTTCTCCCAAAATAGTGTAGCAAAAAGTCTCTATATTTGCAAAACTCTACATAAGAAATGTAGACTCTTCCAAGGCAGGATTCATAGATGTCCATTTTTTAACTTGACCTCTTGCAGCTGTAGTACAATATATTAACACAGTCAACTCAATCAAAGATCTGATTTGCAGTAAAAATAAAATATAATTAAGCAGTTATTTTCCTCTTGATTCTGGAAGGAAAGCTAGAAGCCAGCACAGTCAGTAATTGACAAAGAATAAACATCTTGAAAAGATGACAGGATTTTTCTTGTCTTACTTCTCATAAATATTAAATGCAGTATCAACAAAGAAAAATAGCTCAGTGATTTAAAACATTAGTGAGAATGAATGACAATATAAATTTTTACATGGCTTCCATCTCAGTTCCTTTTAAGAACAGAAATTAGGAGAGAAGGAATCTAATTAAGGAAATCTTTTAAATTTATCAACAGCAAGACCAACAGCAAGGATTTGGTATGTTAGGTCAAGGACTGATACAGTAGTTAGAATTAATTTTGCAGGCTGCACATTCTCCTGCAACATGAGATCAGCAGTGAATCTTCTCTTGAAGAACTTCTACTACTGTTTTTCCTTTTTCCTGAAATAAGATTTAAGTATGAAAAGATACAAAGGTGATACCAGCAAGCAGACACTGGCAGAGAGTCATATAACGAAGTGGATGTTATCCGATCATTCTATATATCAATATTTACTAGACTTTCAAGAAAACACAAACATTTGACCTTCAGTCTTCAAGACGCTGGAAGTGAAGCTTCAGAGAACCTCATAAATTGAAAGAAAAACTTCAATTGAAATGGTTTTGAAAATATGTGTTTGAAAGAGTCAGAATCATCACCATCACCACCAAAGACAAAGCTACCTGTGAGGTTTCTGACATGATCGTCTCAAGTCATAATATAAGGAATAATCATAGTGTTGGCACTTAGCTTGTACTGGGAAAGTTTTCAGAAGTGTCATGTTGCAAGTCTGACTCATGTGAAATATGTCCTAAATCTAGCGCAAACAAAATAATTCCAAAACACATAAGAACAGGAATTGTATGTCAAGTCCAGGACAAAGTGGCCTCCTGGGCTATGCTGCAGGCTCTTCCTAGTCATCTTCTTTCAGCTATCTTTAGGCTCACCCACACAAATGTCTATGCACACAAACACACACGTAACAGGTCCCAAAGTCTCATTTTAGAGTGGAGCTAGTCATCCTAGCACCAGCCAGGAGGAAGGTTAACTTTCCTAGCTGATTTTATCAGCTGGGGGCCCAGGGCTGTGGGTAGGAAGATCCCCTCTGTGCTTGCTGTTTCAGGCCTCCCAGAAGCAGATGGTCTGGGGGACTGACAAAGAGACAGACCAGTCCGTTAGTAGGCAGAGAATAATGACTCATGAAGCAACAAGCAGAAAGAGGAAGGAATCACTGTACAGGCACCTATCCCAGACAGCGCTCCAAATGTAAGTTGTCATGGTTTGCTTTGCTTTTAAAATGTACTATCGTTAAAGAAGGAACTTAGAACTATTCAAGTAATATAAGTAAATGTTATACATGTTCCACCTGAGGAATCCACAACTTTCAATATTCATCATACCTACAAGAAAAGAGATACTCAAGAGATCAAAAAGCTGAAAAAGTAGTGGGCTATAGTGAACAGTATTCTCTAACCAGGCTCAATGTTTAGTTAGAATCCTGTTTGACAATCTAAAAAGCTCTTCAGCTTCCTTAATTAATAATTATTGGGTCAAATTATTTCTAGAGCAAACCACAGTCATATTCACAAATCATCTGGACCTTTCCGCAACTGCCCACTGAAGATTTTTTTAGTGCTTTTGAAGCCTCCTCCTGCTTTCAGTAAGTTTTGCAGCAATTATTCATAATCCTAGACAAAAAATTACTTTCAAAGTCAGGAGTCTGGGTTGACAAAAGGAAGTGAAAGCTCTAGAAATGCTGGACCTTACTATTAGGTTTCCCACTATGAGCTTCTCACAGTTGCAGCTCTAAACAACTGAAGAAGGAAAGCAGTATCCCTTAATGTACCAGGACTGTAAGACACACCTAAACAGTAATTAAAGCTGATTCAGTATACAGAGGTCGTTATCTTAAGCAATTGAATTGTAATGAAGAACTGACTGACAAAAAATATCTAGAGGTCTTTCGATAAATCCCTGGATAATATTGCAATATTTTACCATCCAGCCTGAAAGTAACTAATATACCCAATATATGAAGCCCATGATATATGCTGTACAATCAGTATCAAGAGATACTTTTACTTGCTGCGCCAGATACTGAAAAGAAATTCCACTTTCCTAACACTGCCTTTGAAAAGCAGCCACAAGAATCCTTTAATTCTTCAACTTCCTAACAGAAAATGGACAACAAAGCCGACTCAATAAGGTGGCTCTGCTACTCCCTTTCCTCCTGAACACTCCCTAAAGCCTATCAGAGAGGCCCGTCATGCCTCCGCCAGCTGCCCACTGAGCAGGAGCCAAACAGACACTTCAAGAAGTAGGAAAGGTGAGACAAGGCCTCATGTAAACAAGGTGTGATACTGGGTAGAACATCACCATGTTGCCAGCACTGTGTCCCAGTCTGCCTTGCTGACTTTTTCCCGGTGACTTCCAAATACAGTAAATAGCAAAGATGATAGAGTAGAATGCCAGGAGCAAGAATCTTGCAGAAATGATGATCGCGGGCCCAAGAAAAGCTCTTCAGAGAGGAAAAATTATTTGCCAGCTTTACCTGCTAGCCCTGCCTGAAACTGTAGTTGAGGCCAAGGGTTCACAGCACAAAGCAACAAAAGCAGCCTACAGACTTCAGGGCTATGTCAATTATCAAGATATTAAACCTGCTGCTCTATGATTACAAATCCAAAGCAAATCTGAAATGTATGCAGTAATACCAAGTTCAAACACTACCCAAAAGACAGGTTGGCTGCCAACTGCTCTTGGCTAATGCAGTAAGAATAAAACACCAAAAAAGCAAAATTTTATAGATTGAAATAAAATTTGTCTTAAACTACATCTAGCAATGACCAATCCTCTAGGTCTGCAGCACAAAAGGACAACTGTTAGTCACAAATCTCTTATTTATATCAATGGGAATAGACTGACTAAATCATCATATACCACTTTGAAATCCTAAGGAAAAAAAAGACTCATGACTTCTCATTTCTGTGTCTCGGTAGTGGGAAAAAAAAACAAGGATGTGCATACTTAGCTGCTTCAAAATATACCTTTAATTGTCCAGGCTGTGTCAGCTTACACATATCAAAATGTGGCTTATACAATCATATGCTATTTAATAAACTTGCACCGTTTGCCTTAATACCTATGTTGGCAGATGTTGTTCCAGCTAAGAAAGGGTGAATTGCAATACTGATAAGAAGTCAAAGGAGATGCAGTCAACTTATCAACTCAACTCAAGCAAAAACAAACAAACAAATCATCTATGACAAGTTGAGCAGACTAAGGAGAAACCCAGGTAGCAGCCAGCTTGGGTATAGATTTTGGAATGTATTTACAGTAGTTCATTATGAAGTCTCTGGTACACTGGCAAAAATAAACCTAAAAGCCTGAAGACGACCAGGAATGCATCCTTGAAAGTGTCTGTATTTGGAGCAGGGTAGAGAAAATGCCTAACCATAGTGCTGCCATTCAACATTTCCATTACTAATTCTTTCTTGATAGGTATTGAGAGAAAGTAATAGAGGCAAACATTATGGTGTGGTCTAAATATTAGCAATACAATTGTTCAAAAAAGACTGTGCTTTCAGCAGGTAATTCAGAGTTACCATAGCAGCCACCCACTCTCAAAAGAGGGGAGGGTGAAGAAAGGAAGACTCAAGAATTTAGATAAAAAAGAAGCTATTGTTAAAAAGACAATATGCACAGATGCTAAGTGATAAGGACATGGCTGCGCTTAAATAGAATGAGATAGGGGAATTATTAGATAAAGCATAGGCTTTGTTTTTAAATGTGTTATGTGAAATCACGCAAGTCTGACGTTGTTTACTTTGCCCTCTCAGAGAGCAAGGACTTTGCATCAGCTTGTTGTCTCTTTATGTCTTTAAGCTGGTTTCGTTTTGTGCACAGCTGGCTGAAATGTCCAGGGAAGATTCTGTAACAATCTCTCCCTCTTTCCCAAATATTTCTGTTAACCAAAAAGAAAGTACATTTTTTATCAGAGATTATATGCTCATGAAATACCAGCTGAGTAATATATGGAGATCATTATGTCCATGCGCTCAATAACTGTTGTACCACAGCTCATACAAAGACTAGGCTACTGTTTAAATCTTCTACTCCAATGAACAGTGATGAGAAAGTTGTTATTCAGGGCCAACTATTCTGATAAACATCATGATGGTATAAGGACATGACCCCAAATATTGGAACACTGCATTTTTTTCCCTGGTGTGTAATAAACAGTATTTTTAGCTGTGACCATACAATAGCATATAAAAAAAAAAAAAAAAAGAACTGCCAATATTGCATCAAGGACCTAAATTTGCAAGCTACAACTCAGCTGATGTATCATAGCAATTGACTTTATTTGGCAGCCTGTAAGAATTCAGAAATTCTGAGAGCAGTTTATAGTGCTTTAGTTAAACGATGACAGTGTCATGCATCATGCAGTGATACAGTAATGACACAGGATATATTAATTTCTGCAGTTACTGAAAGATTTTTTTTTATGTTGCTAACTGTATATTGACCACAGACAACATGAAGTTTGCATAAAGTGCTCTTGCTCATGTCAAAAGCCATTGATACTAGGTATTAGACCTTACTAACCTCTACTTTTTGTTTTTAAAATGTATTAACACTATTTTCCTTCCTGCTTTGCAGTAGCTGAACAGTTGGTTTCCTTTAGCTACTGTGACTCACAGCAACAGTGGAAATCCAACTTTACAGATGGTTGAGAAAATAGGAGCAATTAAAATGAAGAATGCTGAATGTTTTCTAAAATAGCTTACGCCAAATTTAGAGGTATGTTTCAGTGAAGTAAAGCCTTAGATATCTCCCCAAATAAAGACAATACTATTAGGAGCCTTACACTTGCCTCAAGTTAGAATAGAGTTTTATTGCTTATCTCTTACTTGCAGATAACACTTGCCTGTACTAACTGATGATCCACATCACTTAAACAGACATTGCTCACAAGGAACTTTTGGTAAATGTTACTGTCAGTGCTACAGATTTTAAGCAACTGGTTCTAAAACCATATTCAGAAGCATGGAGTTGGCACGCTGTCCATGGATGGGACTGGGATCTTCATCATGTTGGCATGTATCAGTTTCCAGATCAATCAGGAATTAAAAGTCCACTCATTAAATATACGCTTAAAAGCAACAGACACTCACACAGGCATATCTACATGTGTATATATGTACACATACATAACACACCACAGATGTATAGGCTGGCCACTGTTCAAATACTGAGGGAATGTAAGGGATGACTCCGCAATGACCACAGAGGTACACACACACTTGCCTAGTTTCCCCTGACACTGTGAGGGCAGCCCTGAGCCCATCCAAAGGGCTACAGACAACTGTGATGACCAGCATAGGTTAGGTAAGAGATTCCCATAGGCATGTGCTGGGGACAACTTTACTAAGAGCAAGACGTGCCTCTGCTTAAGACTAGAATAATGTGTACTCCGAATTAAGCCAGGGAGTACTGCACAGTTACATGAGTGAGATTCATTAGTCACTCTGCCTCCTCACACTTGTCAATAGTCTCTACAACAGCTCTGATGCCAGGCTGTAAACACCAGTTTTTATCCCAGCCCTACTCTTCACGCCCTGTATCAGAGGGGAGAGAGGGAAGAACTGCTGGATTGTCTTGTAGCTCACTTCATTGCAGAATGAGAGCCAAACTGACTTCGCATGAGCACTGAGGCACCTATAAATACCAATTCTGGTACCTAAAACATGCACAGATCTCAGGAAACCTGCAGAGATCAGACACTTACATACACCCACTCCTTGGCTTCCCTCCACCAAAGAATACAGCCGTGTGCAATTTTACTAATCAGTATTAGGTTAAAACACACAAAAGGAACCACTACCAGTCACGGGCAATCCCTACCCTTGCTCTTGACCAGCTAACAAAGCCTCCTCCCACATTCCCTAGAAATGGGGGAAAGTAAACCAAGAACCTGGTTATCCTAAATTTATAACCATTTTTGGACAACTTGCTGTCTCGCAGCTTCCAAGGCTCAGAGAACCGCTACATTTGTAATTGTCAGAATAAAGTCCAATTATTCAAATTCTCAAAGGCCTCACAGTAACCCATAGAAGGTTTACATATATAAAATCAGCCAATAGTTGTCTTATCTTCTCCCCATTCCTCCCTCCTCCCGTCGTAGTGTGATTCACTTGCTCTCAAAAATATAGTGACATTAAATAGTACAATATACTTACAGCCAGATACATAGCTGCATATACGCTTAGTGCTGCTTCTTTGGATGGGAATGTCTTTCTGGCTTTCATGATGAGGTCTGGATTTCCAGTACAGGCATGTACGCTACTGATGAATTGTGTATACTGTTTACATCCAAGTGCTGTATAGTTGGGTTTACAAAGTGCAAGAAAGTGTGGCGCAAGATTCCCTGTTACTACTTGTCCAGCATTTACAAAGATGTCCGTAGCAAACAGTCCAAATGCGTAAATTCCTAAAGAGGGAAACAAAGAGTTAAATTTCCCAACAATTTCACTCCAGGGCAATATATTATAGTATTTGTCATAGTAATATACCAGCTCCTTCCAATTAAGAACACAAAAACCCCTCACGTTTATTGTACCCTAAAGATCCTGGCTCACGTTGTAGAGATGATACTTTCCTACAGAACCGCAGCAGAAACACTGCAACGTACCCGCACACACGATCTCTCTCCATCCTTTAGAGGAGCACGCTCACCTCTTGTGCAAGTAGCCCACTTTCCTAGCTCCCTTAGCCACGAATCTCCACTGTTCAGGGTAGCTAGCTACACTGGTATGTAACTTTTGCAATTCTAGAGATCTGCTTGTGAACCAAGGAAGTCAGGCCCTGATGGAGAAGAAACTTGAGAAGTCGTGACACATACTGGACAAACATATTCTTTTCCCTCGCAGTTGTAAAGAAGCTGAAGTACTGAATAATTCAGTATTGCCAGGCATGAGTTGTCTTCATCTGCCTGCTGCTGGGTACATCTCTATGCATGACATATTAATCACAATATCAACACAGTGAGCTAAGATCTCTGTATTTGAGGAGCTGCTTATGCTAAAGAGTTTTTTTTATCAGACATATCAGCAAAGCATTAAGCACCAGCACTCATTCATTAGAATGGAAATGCATGTACCTGATTACTTAAAAGAAAACAGATTTCTGCTATTCTAAGGTCCCTTTCTATCCTTTTGGAAGCAGAAAACGAGCTTTGGAAGGAAATGCAAACCCAGCACCCTGACTGGGAGGCAAAGCCAGCAAGCATGTGTTCAAATTCCACCTGAGCTACCGCTTTCCTCCTATATTTCCATGGACCTTTCCCATGCTTCAAGTCACTGTGAATATAGCACGAGTTCTGGCAGTTTCCAACTTCATGGGGCACCATGAGGACTTTAACAGATGTACACTACAGACGACATGATGCCACAGAAACGTGCATTTCTAAAGGTCAGGTTTTTGCCTCAGCAAAGCTAGAGGACTGAGGATGATTCCTGGAATCCTGGCTGGTCAGCAATGTCACACTAAAATTAATTCACTCTGAGCTGCTAGACATTAGTGAGCAGCAGGTTGTGACTAGCCGAGTTGCTGCACAGAAGGGCCCTTTCAGCAAGCCCCAAGGGTTGCTGTCCCAACACAGGTGGCCACATCATCTTGTGTGAGCATAATGGGTAGTGACGCCTCCCCTGGTAGAGCCGTGTGAAGGCCATTGCTCATCCCTTCCCTCTCTCCCAATTTTTTTTTGTCTCTATGAACAAGGAGGGCCCACCTTGAAAGAAATGGGGGCACCGATTACAGACAGAGCGACTGGAGCAGGAGGAGCTCCTCATCTTCACTCCCCACCTCCTCTCAACCTGTGCAAGACAGTCTCATTCTTAAAGACTTTTAGCACTCTAGTGTGACAGCAAGCAACCGCGCTCTCAGAAGGCAGGCGCGGCTGCCACACAAACACTTTAAGTACAGACTCGGCTGCACATCCTCTCCCTCCCCCTGCGACTGGGGCACACAGGAGGATTAGCTGCCCCGAGGCTTCATTCCTCCAGCTGTTTCTCCTAGATACAACCCTGAGCGAGAAGCAAACAACAGAATTGAGCCCTGCCACGGCATCCCTGTGTGTATTAAAAAGCAGCATCTGGGAATATTCAATAGACATTCTGAGTGGCGGTATTTCTCCCTCTAAACACATTTACAATGAACTCATTAGAAAGGATGAGATCTCATAGCTACTAAAGTCAATGGGGGAGTTACAGCTGACTTCAGTGGAGCATGGATTTTGTACAGTTTTCTACTAGAGACTATAATCCAATCTCCAGGCTAAGAAAGTACCTAAACTGAGCTTGGCTTCAAACACACATTTACATCTCAATGTCTTCAACTTTGGCTGCTATATGTGTGCATAACCAAAAGAAAACTATCAACTATAGATATAGCACAAGGATATCTCCTTTCTCCACTTCACTCTACTCCAGGCCTGCTGGTTGTTTTTTCCCCCTTGCGGTTCCATTTTTTTTCCATTTTTACTGTTGTTTCTGCAACTATTTTTTTATCCAAACTTCCAAGAAGTTTCATTTGCTACCCAATAGGAGACAACTCACTGCATCTGAGTTCAGACTACACATCAAATGTTTTATGGTTATCTGAAAATTTTCCCCAGGTCAAAATTAAGACATAATTGATCACTCTCACCATTCAGAAAATGAAAGCATTAATTTTGCTCATACCAAGGAATCTGATGGTCCTGCGCACCAGTGGATTTATATAACAACAGTCTCCAGTTAATATTGTTTTTTCTTGGTTTTCAAAATCCTTTGTAGCTAACTGTAGACAAAACACTGCAGTTTCTCCAACGATAATCTTAGGGAAGGAGAAAAAAAGGGAGAGAAACGGTACATCAGATTACAGCAAGTAAAATATACTAATGTTACAAAGATGGCGATCTCATCTTAAGGAAACAAGACCAAACCAGCACAAAAGACAACATAAGGGAATCAAGTTCTGTACATTAATCTGCTTATGAGGAAAATATGCCTTATGGCTTGCTTTTCTTTACTTGCATTAAAAGAGAATAAACTTCTATAACTAGGACTTGGAATCAACATAACATAACCTAGTTTTCAGGATGAAGGGAAAGAGAAAGAAATCTGTTAGTGCAGGAACAACAGATCACGCAATGCAAAAGATGTGGACCACAGTAAAGGTCTAATCCTGGAAGATGCTGAACATTTCAGTTCCCATGCAGCTTTCACTGACACTCAGCACTTCACGAGATTGAGCTCTAAATTTTGAACCATGGTGGGGGAGGGCAAAAATAAATAAAGAAAAAAAAAATCACAACAGCGCTCCTGTTTATAGCAGAAAATTGGTTTGCCAGGAGATACTTAACAGGTTTGGATCCATATTTTGCCAGCTAACTTTATGAAGTCTGGCTTTGGCTTTGTTCCTCATGCTTGAACAAAGTGTCACCACTGATATTTTAACATTAAGCATGGCCTGTTTCACATCCATTACACAAAAATGAATAAAGTTCTCATGTCTCTAGATCATTCACATTATGGTTGGTGAAAAACTTTTAAAAAAAATCACAAATGAAAAAAAATAGATTTTTGAATGTAAAATATCCCCTCTAAGATGTGGATTTATCTGTACAGCAAAATATGACCATTAATTTACTCGTGTCAATTATGGTCCTTAGACTTAGTAGCCAAAGCCAAGCCTTAAGCACGTATCTATCTAAACCTATGATACTGAAGCTTTATGGCAGGTAGCACAAAAAGAGTACAGCAGAAGGGTCGAATACCGACCATTACATTCTGACTTCAATTCACCATGGGACTTCAAGGCAAGGCGCTTCCACTGTCCCACTATGTGAAAAGCGGTAAAGCTTATTGTTATGTACATCACACCGATAAACAGGAATGAAGACCAGCAAACTGAAATCTTAATACTACACAAATACAAGAACTAGTGCCATCAAATCCAATCTATTGCCTAGGTTTTTCCAATCCTTTGACCTAACAGGAAATTATAAACCTTTTCATATATCATAACAGGCCTGAACAATTCTACACACAGCACTGGTTACAAAAAAAAACACAACACCAAACTATGAGTGATGGCTTATAAGCAGTTTGTTGTCAACAGGAAGAATGCAATTAACGACCTTACTTAGTTTTTGTAGATCTACACAGATGACTTTGGGCTAAATTGTGACATATAGAGGAGGAAAGTACTTCTTATAAACAATGTGGCACAAATAAAAAAACAAAACAAAACAAACAAACAAAAACCACCAAAAAATCCAACTGTGGTGGCAAGTGTGTAAAAAGCAAAATTCAGTTTGTAACAGAAACAGTCATCATCTATTATTTCAGATTGGCTTCAGATCCTAGTGTAATTTTTAGATGAAACAAGTTTCAATACCTAAACTAACAAGTATCCTCTCTCTACTTTGATGCAAGCAAATTTTAGCATACTGAAGTACAATTCCTTCATCTGTAAGTAACAAATGATCAGTAACACACATGAAATGTAACTCAACCCCGAATTCAATGTCATCAATGTCACCAAAATTATGACAACAATAACAAGAATTCAGCCTAAGGACCCCTACAGCTCTAACAAAAAAAAAAGTAAGCAAACAAAGAAACAGTTTTAATATGAGTCATAAAGGTGAAAACTGAAATACTGAGATTTTTACTATGAGTCACATTAAGTCCCTTCTTTCCTCTGGAATAATGAAACACCAAGGACTAGGCAACAGTCAGATTCTGCATTTAACTGATTTTTTTTTTTTTCCAAACTCAATACATTTCAGTAAAATTATTGCAAGCTTCCAAACTCCAGGAAAAAACAGAATCCAGCACAAGTGAAGATCTGCGATATTCAGTGCTCAACCTTTTGCAAGAACACAAAGAAAAAGCATGCCAGCAAGCTCAACTCTCCAGCTCTGAGCAGAGACTCTGAATCTCCTGATCTAGGAATACAGGTTCTACTTTTTGGTTGGCAGGGAAGCTGGGGTTAGCAAATGGGAGAACTGTTCATTCAGTTATAGGAAAGGAGATCCTCACTTCCAGCAACCTGTCTTCATCAGTTGCATCTAGGTCCTTGCAGCTGGCAACAATTTTTCTCTACATTTCCTGTCTTTGACAATGACCTGCATGAAGAAAACCCTCTGCTCCAAGAACAGCAAGGAGCAGTGTTCAAGTTCTTAGGTGAACAAAAATACTCCTATAGTGGGTACGTAGGTGCAAGGGTTAGAACGATGCAGAACTCAACTAAAGACAAAACGTTTGCTATATGAAGCCTAGTGCTCTACCCTCAGAAGTATCCAGAGTGGGATATGCCGTTGAGCACAACAGGCATTCATCTCTACACTTCTGTGGCTTTACTTTGACAGAATCCTTCTGGCATTTGGCAACAAATACAGGTTCTATATATTTTTCTGTACTAGCAGCTCAGCCAAAGCTGTTCTCCCATCCTTAAGCACAAGCACTGCTCATATCAATAACCAGCCTATTGGTGTTTCAGAAACGGAAGGAAAATGTTTTTCAACCTCAGTGAGTTCCAGAGAGATTCTGTTCCCCAGTGCAATTCCTTCCCCTTTTCTCTGGCACCACTGGCAATAATCAGCTCTGCAGGGTAGCGGAAAGAGAGGACAATATCCTTCTTATCCTTTACCACAATTTTCATGTCTGGTATATATCAGGAAGGAACCATTTCTGTACCACCTCTTGGCACAGGGATCACCATTATCCCTTCTACTACATATGTGACTTGCAAACAGGCAACAAATGACGTTTAATACAACAGAAATACTTGTGTACTTCTTGGCTAAGTCTTGGGACAAAAAGGTTTTGGAATATTCCAAAACAGACAGTGAAGAATTGCAGTGGAGAATCTGAGAGCTCTGACAACATAAACCTTCAGACAGAGCTACGCAAGTTCAGGTCAGAAATATAATTTGCAATGAAAAAAGTGAGGATATTAGGAGCATCTTTTACCTTATTCTGTCTAACAGGGTCATACTACTTTAGATCCACTGTACAGGTTTCCTAAAGAATGATATATACATTAAAATTCTTAGCTCACAGATATATTAACAGCTGTTAAAAGCAGAGACCATCCTTCCCTAATGCTGAGAAGAACTTTTGACATATAATTACAGCATGTAAGGTATAAGGACAAGGACGATTTTCACCTGAAGACTAACACCACAAAGTGCAGGCTTTCCAATATTCTAAAGAACATAGATAAAAACAACTTTCACAGTCCTTAAATAAAAATGCAGCGTCCATAACTGTTATAAGAAGGAGCAAGATAAGAATGATTGCCCTAGGGGCACCAGCCTAAGCTCTGACAGGCAGTGATCAGGTTCTTTTTCCACTACAGCTTCCCTCTGTAACTGCAGGGAAGGCCCTTAGCCATGGTTCACAATACAAAGCGTAATAGGAACAATACAAAAATCACCCTACACAGAGATATTTAGTATTAATACACAGTTCATAACTGGCATTTAGATAATCTTTTCTTTTTATGGAAGCACGGAAAAGAAACATTAACCCAGCAAAAACTAAATGACAGGAAAAGTTCTCATAATCATCTCCATGGCAATCATACCCCGTCTGCGACAACCCATTCGACAGCCAGGAACAGAGTTTGGGAGTGGCGAGATCTAAAATAAATATTTCTTCTTGTTTCACCTCTTAGCTCCTAATTCATCTGTTAGCTGATTGATTTTCATGGTGGTTATGTACTAGTAACATCTTTATTGCCAACCACTCAATATCTGTCCCTTTCCCT